TTACAGATTTAGTCTTACCTAAATAAACAGTTCAGTTTACCATTAGCTTTGTGTGTTTCAAGGAAGGAATTCTGATTCTCCTTCCTTGCATGTTCCTAGCTTGTGACATTGTATGCTTTTTCAATTATCATGATTATTGTCATTGTGTTCAGGACTTGGGCTGTTGTGTAAGTCACATCATCAACGGTTTTATGGTATCCTCGATTTGAAGCTACATTTAATGATGGAAGAGATACATATTACACAAAGGCTTTAATTTGGAAACCGACACATGCAGAAGGTATTGTGCAGCTGTCTTGGTTAAAATTCTTTGGCAAGGGAAGCGTTTCTGTGAATGCTGACATATCTGTGAGATCCTTATTCTGGTTGTGCCTTCTTTCAGATCAATGGGTTGAAGATTGACTTTCCTCATAATGATGGGATTTATTTAAAACTGGCATTAGTAAAGCAATTGAGAAAGAATTAATGCAAACAAGTGTCACATTTTTTCTGTGGCTTTGTTGATCAGTTGAGTTATTTTCTCTGAGTGATTTCTCAAGTTGGTTTTGTGGAGTTCTGTCATGAATGATGCATAGTGCTTTTTTCTGTTATGGGTCATGTCCTTCCTAATCTTCTGCAATTAGCCTTGAGTTAACATTCCAGGCGAAAAAAGGGCCATTTCTTTCACACACACATTTTATGTTAGGTTACAGGGTTATGTTTGTTTTGCAGCGTATGGTAATTACCAGCTATTCAAAGCAAAATGAGATTTAAAAAATATAATTAGATGTACAAAATGTAAGCATGTCTCAATATTTGTGTTCTTGATGTATTGATTCAGTTCTTCAGTGATTGGTTCTTTCTATGAAGACTATATTGTTTTTCTTTGTGGATTTATTTTCTGGCTGGATCAAGTCTCAACAGCAACTGTTAAAGGATATTCTGAGATTGAGATTGTTGTCATGATACCTGTTGTAATGTTGTACCTCCTGAAACTCAGAATTTGACACACATCCTGGTGCTACAAAAGTGGATCTTTGTCCCTCACCTTAAATCTATTAGGCTTCTTAGCTACAGTTGAGAAGAGTGTGATTAATATTGGGGAGTATGAGTCAAAGGTCATGATAGTGAGCGAGTTGTCAGTGTAGTAGCTGTAGTGGCCAGCCCACACCTGTCTCTACACTGCAGGCAGTAGTGCCTCATTGCAAACACCTGTCTCAACTTGTCCAGGATACTGGAAGGAATATTATGAATTCCCGTCTGGCCACTTTGAGCTGCCCCCTGTGCTGCCTACACAGGCAGGCTCATCAGGTGGGTGAACTTGGGTATAACAGGGTTCAATGTTTATGCGGGCCCAGTAGACATATTCCAGTAATTATTATCAGGGCTAGTAGCTTGATCAAGGTGGTGATTTTCGCGAGTGGAAAATATGAATTATTGGTGGAATGTTTGTGAAATAAATTTTTGAATTGTCTGTGAAGCATTTTTAAATTCTGATTTATTTTTGTCTCACATCTTTTCTATAGGACCAAAGGTGTTTCTGTGTCTCTTTTTCCTGCTGGAATGATGGTATTTGTCACAACCTGGCGATTAATACCAATTTGAGAAAATTCAGGCTGTTCCAACTTGATTAATCAGTGAAAGCCTTCTGCAGATTCATTGCATGCTTCATTGTGTCATTTGTCTTGGAACCTCTGACCTTGCAAGGAATTTATGAATAATTGAACTTGAGTGACATGGAATATGCATAAGTTTGTTGCTTTTTAAAAAAAAAAAAGTTTGGCATTTGCACTTATTGAAACCGTAAGAAATGAGTAAAATTATTTTCAGAGATGGGGCTGTTGTTCACAAACTTAGCTCAAAAGCCAATGAAATTAAAGACATTTTGATTACTAGGCAATTATTCATCATTTCTACACTTAGTTTCTGTAAATAACCTCATGTTATCAAAATACAGATTGTCAATTTTTCGGTCTAAGGGATTGCATTTAAAGGTTACTTACAGATTGGTCTTGATGTAGGTTAGGAGGCGCTTATTGGAGCGGTGTTAGATTTTCATCCACATATTTCGATGTGAGGAGGTTATCAATTTGAAGTATTTTGTGAAATAGGTCTTGTGGGACCCACGTAACATATACATGATATATGGTGTAAATCATGATGTTTGGAACAAAGTGAACAGTGATTTTCTTGGTTGGAAGGTACTTTGGAGACAAAACAATGTATGGTGGTGTGTTTAGTGGGCAGACAGACAGGGATGAAAATCTAATAATTCATTTACTATGGCCTTGCCCATGGTCTGCATCTGGGCAGAGGGTTGTCTGAATCCTCAGTTGCCATTCATCAGTAGTGTGCTGCTGCGAGTGTTTGTCCTCGTGATGGTGTGTTTGCCTCAGCTCAACACACAGAGCAACTGAAATAGGGTGGTGGCATTATGATTCTAGACATGTCTCAGTCAGGTAGACTCATGATGAAGACGGTTGTGGCAAACAGTTCTTTGATTGAATATCATTGTCTTTCATAGACATGATAGACACTCAGCTGTCACCTACAGGTCGCCTTGCCCTTACCAGACTGGCTGTATTGTGGTTTGCGTGGTGGTGCATATTATGCATGTGTTGGTTATTGAATATCTATATGTAGTAACAGTTAATTGATGATCAGAATGTTTTATTAGTATGAAATATCTCAAGATGGAAGATAATTGATTTACACCATGTACACAATTAAGCCAATTTGTATTTTTAGCTGTTTCAATAATAACATTTTGCCATGTTATCTCTTCATCTGTTCATTACCAGATTAAGAATGGAAGACTGCGCAAGATTTAGAGTTATTCCTGGTAAATGAGGACATTTTTTTGTCCTTAGAACATGTATGATACATCAAAGAAACTCAATATGATTTAGTTGAAGGTTTGGTGAGCGCTTAAACACACAGCTACGTGAAGTAATATGCATGTATATCCACATTGTCAGATCACTGAAAGTTTGCTTGCTAATCGATCTTAGTCCTCTGGCACCCAGTCTCCGAGTCACAACATTGAATTATCTAAAGGTCTTGGTATTTGAGCAACAAGATTACATTTAAAATTTATTTGAAGATACTGTTGTCAGGCAACTGGCCATGGTTGAAGATATCAGCTTGTTTTTGCTGTGAAAGGTTTTATTCAGAATGAAGGTATTGGAGATAATCAGACTGCAGATTACACATTGAGTTGTGTTTATGATCATGTGTCTGTCAAAGTATTCCACCTCTGTATCATAATGGGAGGTATGAATTCTACTGGACACCTATGCCCTATGCTTGTGTGATGCTACTTATCTTGCCGCTCACAGTATTCCTATTTGAAAAATAGGCCCATAAACATGATAAAGCTCAAATTAAGCCCCCAAAATGACTGCTTGCATTTGTATGGTTTGATATGATTAAACCACAAAATTGAATATCAAAGCAATACATAAACGTAGAAAATTGGATGTCTGAACACGGAAGCGGTATTCAAAATCAGAAGTTCCATAATGGCGAGCAACAATCTCAGCAGTGACATCCATTGGTGTCACATTTCATCAAACACATAGTTATGTTATTTAGGGTGGTTGCCCAAAATGGCATCTGAAATACTTTTGCTAAGGAAGGAGCTTGTGCACATCCCTTCGTCGGTAAATAGAGAATCTCACCCGAGCGTCTTTTGATATCAAATATATCAACATGAGTTGATAAAAGTGGGAAAACTCCGAGGCTTGCCGAGGATTTTTTTCCACTTTTATCAACAAGTGTTGATATATTTGATATAAAAAGACATGAGGGTGAGATTTTATTTATCCACCAACATCATTCTTCCAATTTTTCAGTTTGTAGAAAGTAATAAGCAGTGTCTTAAGTGTAAAAAGTACTGCTAACAGCTTCAGTAGCAGAGCCATTATGTCTTTTGATTGTGACGTCATGGTAACCAATGACGTCACAATGGTCTGCAAAGCATTGTGATGCAATTTCATTGCAGCGATATCTACAGTATAGTGCATGTGCATGGTATTTGCGGCTATACTTTGATTGTGTTGAGGGGTCGGCAAGCTTGAATATTACCAACTGTGAAATAAGATAGTCATAATCTTGAGTCAACTAGACTCATGCAAGCAGAATGGAGAAAGTATATCTTGAAACATTATGTATTGTGATGCATGGATGACTATCTGGTAGTAGTGGGATGATCACCGATTCTTCAGTGGGTCCTAATTTTTTGACATATCAATACAGGTATCGATCCGTTGCACACTATGTGAAAAATATTGATTCTTAGCTTAATTATTTGATTTAATTGTAGTTACCATGGTTACATCAAACACTTATTAGTAGTGAAACATAAATATTTATATCCATTGCACCGTGTTTGACACTGCCAACTATAAATCATCAGTGTGCCAAGTATCTGGCCATCTTGTCAATGGAAAAGATGGCTTACATGCCACAGATGCGAGTATTGTGATACGTATCGGATCGTGAGCAAGGTATCATGATGTCTATCTGATCACACAGTTGATGTATCATCCAGACCCTACTATCTGGGGCATTTCCTCAGTTGCTATTGACACAATACACCATTGCATTACTGTTATAACCAATACAATGGTATTGTGATGCATGTGTTCCTGTTCCTTTCCGTACAGTATGTTTCCTCGAATTTCTTGACATTATTCAGTAGAAGTTACTGGGGAATTCAAGGAGGAAATTTCTTATACAGATGTATGAACATAATTCAGTTAGAAACTCGCATCTGTACCAACAACTTTTATTGTGGATACAACATGTACAACCAAACAGAAAAAATAATGATTAAAAGTATTATTTGTCTTTCTTTTGCGTCTTTGCATACTATCGATTATGCTTGGCATTCATGTTTACCATTGTTATTTCAATTCAGTATCTTTATATGACCACCGAGTCCTTGACAGTTGCGTTTCATCAATAGTTGGATGAAGCATTACACCCTATCACCCTCTCACTGACTGTTTGTGTTGCAGGTCTGATCCCTCCCAGAAATGTGAGACATATGGGGAGGAAGAAGAAGAGGAGGAGATCCTGGGATCTGATGATGATGAACAGGAAGACCCTCATGACTATGTCAAAGGTAAATTGTTTTGCCATCCGAAACTGACAAAATCATCTGATCAGATGTCCAACTGTGCATTAGTTAGGTAAAAAGGAAACTTTCTGAAAGCGCTTGACTTGCCTGAAGTTGTACTTGAATGTCATGGTGGTGAAAAGTAATCGTGTAGGCTTCACATCTTCATGTATATATATATATATATCGTGTAGGCTTCACATCTTCATGTATATATATATATATATATATATATATATACAAATATTTCTCCCCTACAACACAAATATTGATTCCATGACTCCAGTGATATAAGATGACTTTTAACAGACTGTCATTCTACAAGCTTGAGGCGAACTCAAGGCTTAGGAAAATACATGCTTGGTGATTCTGAAGTTAGTATTTTCAACTGGTTGTCAGTCTTTTGTTTCTGGACAAATATTGATTCAGTATTGTTTATGATGTATTCTGCTGCATCATATCACTGACTTGAGATCAGGTTGTTTACAGGGGATGGGTAATATGTGTCACATGTATTGGGGTCTATACAGAACTCATGTACCGTATTTTCTTGAGTATAGTGCGCACCCATGTATAATGCGCACCCCTGTCTAGCGGATTCAATATTTTGGAAAAAAAAGAAATTTGAATATTATGCGCAGAAAAAAATTACACCATACCCCTTCAGCGAAGTCCGGCAAACGAACAGGTGATGAGAAACTTTGTCAGTACCAATTCGAAATTTGAGATAAAAAATCACCAGACATGTTGATTTACCGTTTAAATTGTATTGTTTGTTCTACTAGCCAATGTTTTAAATCCAGGGATTAAGATTACCTTGTGTATTTTCTCGTAAACTAAGCCGGACACAGCAATCAGCTGTACACACGTTTTCTTGGAATCTACCGGTGATTCGGTCAAGACACACCCAATGATATAACTTTACAGTATTTTTAATGCAAGGATCAGCAAAAATTGTATCTGAAACTATTTTTTTATCAGGAATAATATATTCAAATATCTTGTTAATTTAGATGCAGCTTTTACTAAACATATTTAAAATAATAATAACCCTAAGGGAAGCAGCTGATCGCTATTGCCGGGTATTATTTTTGACATGGAACCAGTCTGACCATTCACCGGTAAGGCTCGTGTGCACGTGATCGCGTGATCGCGAGAATTACGTGTTGACATAGAATCGTCCAACAAAAACAAATATGACTTTTAACAATTCAAAGTATGGCATTTGTGATATATGTATCCATTCTCTGTCAACTTAAGTTCGTTTCAAGGCGTCAATAGCGGTTATCTGACCATGGTTGCTGTTAATAACGGTGAGTTGTGCGATCTTCCGATCACTTCACACACGATTTCGCCGAAATTAATTAAAACAATATTAAAAGGAATTTTGAATAAAATTAATGAAATAAGTTACAAACATAAGTCCAGATATACAAAGAACACTTTTTATAGCCAGACAGTGTAATTACATGAATAATATGCGTACTTCAGTATGGATTTGTTGACATGGTATTTCCGGTGTTACGTGCTCACGGTAATGTCTTTCCATGGGGGAAAAAACATCAAAACTCATTAATTCGTGTATAATGCGCACCCCCTTCTACACAGCTGTGTTTTTTGAAAAAAAAGTGCGCACTATACTCAAGAAAATACGGTATTTGGATCTTTTTTAAGTGATGAAGAAGATGGATCGGGTGGTTGAGTCAGTGACTTTGCGGATTGCTTGTCAATGTTGGTTGTTGCTCATGCTTTCAGTCACTGATTTTCCTGGTCAATACTTGATTATGTTCAGGTTGTTGTGACTGGGCTTGGTTATAGTGGACTGGTGCAGAAAACAAATGTTAATTTGAATCACCAAGTTGCCCCCTGGAAATAACAAATTTTAGAACTGTGATAAACTTTGAAATATTGGTATAAAAATAATGGATATGTTCTAGTGTCTAGCCTGTTCCTTTCTTACATATGCAAGTTTTTAACTTCTGACATGATCAAAACCAGAATTCTGTTTAAAATTAGTGAGAAAAGGCCAAAGTATTTGAATTTCAAAAGAAATGTGACTGAACAAGTCTGTTTCCCGGATGATATTTTCCCATCTGTTTGCACTGTCTTATCTACATAGCCACGAAAAATCAGCTTGGGTCAGACTCCACATGTTCAAATATTAGAAAAACACTTCCTGAAGTCTCTTTGAAACATTTTAGCCTTTGATGTCCATTTAGTGTTATTTTAAGCATGTTCAGACCCAAATGTGCAAATGGCAGCTTGAACAATGTCTAATTGTCACAGCTGATAACTTCCTTAATGGTTTCTAAAAGGCTTGATTCGTTTCTTTTGTTTATCAAATTCCGCAAATTATGTGGGACAAAAATGGCCCCTATCAAGTAATAAAAGTTTCAAAACCCTTTCCATATCCTTAAGAAATCTCTGCCAAAAACAGAGTCTATTGTACGATTCCCAACTATATCATGAGCATGTGTTTATGAATCACTATCAAATATTGATGATGCCAGGGGTTCTGAAGGGTGAGCGTATCCTGCCCAACTGGTGGCACCTGTCACAAACACATGCAAAGGCAAATCAATTGTTCACCTGAAAAAACATCGTGACATATCGTATAAGTTATCATGGGAAATTGAAACAGACATAATTTTTGTCACTGATGCGTCAAATTTGGAAATGTGCTCCACATGTCTAACTTTACTGAGGAATAACTTTGATCTAACAACTTCTGAGCAAGAGTTGTATGGCACTCTTTGAAATCTTGGTACAAGGTGCATGCTCGATTGTACCTTAAAAGTTGTGAAATGTAGACACTACAGGCTGGAGCTGCAGGAATATTGCTCAACATAAAGGGAAAATTGACTATTGGAAAGTTGAAATCATCCCTCTTCACATACAGTCTTGTGGAGAGTGTTTTGTCACTCTGAATCTTTGTACATAGATCTAAATTTGAAACAGATGAAGCGGTCTCACTGGTCTCCTTTATTTCTACTTCAGGTGGGTCAATCAGTGAATTTGATGGTTATTGAACGATATCAGATCATCGATATATCTGAAGCTTAAGTTAAACTTCTTGGCAAAATAAACTTTTGACTTTGCCAATCAGAGCAGAAATTCTGATTCATATCCATAAAGAAATATATCAGCAAGAAGGGGAGCACAATTGGTGCCCATGGTGATGCCTGCTTCTTGCCTGAAATGTTTTGCCCCAAATTTACCCTCAAAACCTCATCTTTTGTTAGGAAAAGATACAAAGGTTCAGAACCTCCTTTCTCTATGGGATTTCAGCTTAAATCAGTTCTATGTTTGAAATATTTCTAGAGAAATAAAGTTTTGTACCAGTGAACATAGCCCTAAAGAGGGCCTTTGTGCCTGTTGTTTGTCTTTCTCGTCATGGTATTTCCTCTTCAATTAAAAATATAGTCTGCAACAAGAGCTTTTATAATTTTTTTCGAACTGTTCATTGTATTCATTAAGCATGTTAAGGTTGAAATGATTTATTGTTGCACTGATGCACCACAAATTTAAACTCAACAGTATAGTACATGAAATATTGCTTTCATAATCCTCGAAAGAATTTGTTTTGCAGTTAATTAAATGTCAACAAGAAGAATATTGGAACTGTTAGAATCCTTTTTTGGTTGTGCTTTCCAACCTCATAGCAGCAGTGTTGGCAAACTTGTTGAAACAGAATAATACATTATTTGTTTTAGAAACAACCCTGTTAGGCGAAACATTTCGTTAGTCATATATAGTTGATCCATTCAAGTTGACAACATGAGTCGCAGTGATTATCATGATTTGTCAAATGCAAGGTGTATGTAATTACTTTCTTCCTAATCAGATTTAAAATCAAATTTCTTCCAACATGACCTACAGCAGGCTGACTTCAGTTACACATTTCAGGCAAGATACAAGTGGAATAATCTTTGCATTTAACGTGCTCGTCTGACAATTTGCACCAACAAAGGAAGGCAATTTCAGTTGTCCCTACATCTATTTTGCAATCTTTCCTTAGGGTAGGTAGACAAATCTAATAATTGTCTACAGCTCCCTGATCAATTTCTGCATCGCATGTAGTGTGTGTATGTTGAAGACAGTGAAGGGTCTCGCATCTATGAAGCTTGTGTGTACATACTTCTCAATACAGACAAATCACTGCTCACCTTTGCCACTCCCATGCCACTCTCACACCACTGAGACAAAATGTCTGGTTAGAAACTATGATATTCTCAAAGGTAAAAGAAACCATGTTATTTATGATATTGTGATTTTGATATTGTGAAATTGCTTTTAAGTTTTTGTTGGAATTTGCCAACTGCAGAGAAAATATCAGATTTTAATTCTTCTATGGATTTTTGTCCAAATGGCCCTGTGTAATCCTATGTGCAAATGCCATGAAAAGGTCAATGGTTGAGGTCACGATATGCAAAAAAATAACATTTAGAAAAAAATCATGCCTGTAGTTACACTTTTTCAAAAACTATTCATACCATGTCGTTGAACTTGGTATATACTTTCTTTAGGATGGGTTCATTACATGTCTGGCAATGGCCAATGTCTTCTTTGAGGTAATATGAAATATGGTTGATTCAATCATTGCCAGTCCCTGCATTTTCACTTGTATGATCCTGAGACATGGATAATTGTTGGATCTTAAGAGGTTGACCTGACTTAGGCCAAGGCCTTTAAGTAATGTTTTTAGACTGAAGTTACATGGCATGATAATATTTGGGGAGCATTGAGGAAATTCCTGTGAAGGGCTGCATGCGTCTGCTGCATCCCTTGTTCTCCCTGATTGGACCCATGAAGATCTGGGTAGAATAGGTAGGATAGGCAACCCATGCTTACTATAAAAGTTGACTATGCTTGTCGTAAGAGGCGATTAACTTGATCGGGTGGTCAGGCTCCCTGACTGGGTCGTTAGATGTCATTGTGTCCCAATTGCGTGGATTGATGCTTGTGATATCAATCACTGGGTTGTCTGGTCCAGACTCGATTATTTACAGACCGCTGTCATACAGCTGGAAAACAAAGAAACTAACAAAACCTCCCTGATTGTTTGACAGCACCATACTAGTGCTTGTGGGTTTCACCAAAGTGATAATTGTCTCAAACACTTCAGGCTTTACTCCCACATCAAGCTGAAATTATACCCAACTCACTTATTGATATTTCTCAAGCTGTTGTTTTATGTAACTTAGGAATTTTTTTATTATGAGACGTTTCATCTCCTTGTTGATGGGATTTGCTTATTGTTGATTTTGTTTTGTCCTTTTGGATCACTTCTACATTAGTGTTAATGTCTTCTGGTTACCCTGTTCAATAGAGCCCACTTAACCACATACCGCGACAGTGCCAACTCATATTATTCAATTCGACAATGTTCATATTTTCTTCTGTTTCATTTTTGAAGAGTCTAAACATCAAGACAATCTTTTCATTTGTTTACATCACATGCTGTCATCGAAGCCATGCGGAGAGGTAGCGATAGGTCACTTTGATGTATAAATATATATTGTTATGCACCTCACAGTCGCAATTTTAGTAGCATATGTATGTAATTATGCAAAACAATATGTAAAGTGCCAGTTTGTTCTGATTTCATTGTTTGTTTTAAAATGAGAGAAATGTCCGTCACATGATATGCAAATTAGCCTGTGGCAGTGGTGTTTTGCGAAGTTATGTTACCTCTAAAAACAATGATTAATTAAAAACTGGATGTAATTTTTACGATATTTGCATATATGTTCTTCAGAAAATGTTTTTAATTACATTCAGGTAGGGAGCTGTAGTATTTTCATTCAAAAGCTGGATATATAAATTGTTGAACCGGTGACCTGTCATGACCAGCACAATAGCCGACATAACGACAAACACGTTTTGATAAAAAATATTCCAAGTTAATTTTAAAAATTAGTAGCTGAAACAAAGAAGTGGTTATAAAACATTAAATATATCATCATCACAGAAAATAAATTTAAGTGACATAAGATAATATTTGAAAATCACACTTTTATGTTTCAACTTAATTACCGGTACCGGTTTATAACAATAGCACCTACAATCTTTTTTACTCATTGTTAATGTGGAGCTGCATTGTCACAAATACATAGATATGTAAGTTAATACGTCCAAGCATGCACATAGTATTATTTGTAAGATCATTTTCTGCATTCACCAAACCATGAAATTTACGATCTTTTAATTCTGTGGGTTTTTTTCACCATAATTCTGTTCTAATAAGCGTCAAATACTGTAGATAGGTCATTGAAAATAATTTCCAGTAAATCAACCCATCTATTATTATGTAGTTCACCAAATCTCATAAATATCAGATCTTAGCGCTCCCTACCGTTACACCAAAGCTTGTGCAGCTGTAGCGAGCAACAAGATTGGATTGTGATGAGATGGATAGTTCACTGGAACAGAATGTTCTTGCGACATAAGTCATGGCATGTCTTCTGTCAGTCACTTCTGGTACTACTGGGATATTGCTGGGATATTGCTAAAAGTGGCGTAAAACTTTTACTTTGCTCACTCACTCATGCTCGATATATCGGGTGATTTTTAAATACCGAGCATGCATCTGGGGCCCCAAGATGGCTGCGTATTTATTGACGGAGTAAACATTATGTTGTACCAGCATTTTGTTTTGTTCCATTTCCAACTTCAGTTCATACATTTTTGTATCAGATTACTTCTGAATTCAAAATTTAGAATTATGACATATATCGTGATACGTATCGCAATACAGCCTTGTGCATCACAAAATATTGGTAAACACTTTAAACCTCCAATCCCATCCATAGTATTACAACATTTTCTGAAAGAAGCTGTTCATCCCTGCCATGGTGGTATGTCATCAATAAATGCTCACAGAATTCTAATCCGAATAAAGAAATAAAATTCACATTAAAGACACACAGACACAAACACACACACACACACACACACGCCAAATGTAGTATGTTGTAGGCTGACAGAGGATTTTGATATTTGGGACTCCTCCCTTTTAGACATGTTTGATCTGCCCTTGCCATCTATATTTTCTGCTGTATCTTTGGGTAATTAATTTTAGAACTGAGACAACTAGGAATGTCCCATCAATAGGATGGCTGTCTGTGTGACAAGTGACAGTTGGTGTTTTTGTGTTCTACACAAAAAAAAGTTCCTTCCTACAGACCCTTCTGTCAACATGGGCATTGGCATGTTATGTAAGTCCCAAGTGTTTTCAATTTTTGTTCTTATTTAGTGTTGTTGGCAAGAGTGCCAGAGAGGCATGCAGCATTCAAGTGCTTTAGTAAGTTCAGCTTTACCATGGAAAGACACAGATACACACTTCTGAGAAATATTGGTCCCCTGGTGGCAGTGGCCCTATAAGTCTGGTCTGCCATTTTCTCAGGTGGCCCAGTCATCTCAGACATAACAACTCACAGCACTGAGCTGTGTCCCTTATGCATGGCAGAATCCTGTGATCAGGGTTTCAATCACATATTTGCGCTAATTATGATTTTTGGTTTGTCAGAACCAGACTTGTGATTGTGGGCTTCGCCAAACTTGTAAATGTTTCAGACCTGCATCACTTGTGGCTTTCCTCACACGTTGAGATGCCAGGCTGTGTGATATGACTGAAATACTGTTTAAAGCGGTGTTAAGCATGTTAGCCCAACTCACTAACTCAAAGGCAGTATAAACATTTGAAGATCTGCCAGGAAAACTGGGGAAGTCTGGATTTAGGCGACCAAGCACCTCCTTGTCTGTACAGTCTGTATGGAACTGTCTTCATGTTGTGTGTCTTGTATGTGTTGTAGGTGGCTACCACCCTGTCAAGATTGGAGACATGTTCAACAGCCGGTACCATGTTGTCAGGAAACTTGGATGGGGACATTTTTCAACAGTCTGGCTCAGCTGGGATATGCAGTGAGTATATTCTTAAACCTTTCCTTAGATTCCAACTGTATCTGCACAGACACACCCTGTTTGTTTGCAGTATTTAAAGTTTAACACAGGGTATTAGACTGTGTCAATGGCAGAAGGATAATTGTTCTAATTTTTCTATCACATTGTGAGGTAAGTTTTGCATTTCAAACATGTCTCATTGCTACTTGTGTTGAAGATGTTTTTCCTTTAGAAATTAGTTGTAAATAGTCTGGTTTGAATAAGGGAATTATATAAATAGGTTACCTTTGGCTAAGTTTTTAGGTACCTTCTATGGTAGAGACAAGTCCAAATTGACTCTCCAGGTACCCGACAACCCCCCCCCCCCCCCAATTTTCCTGACCCTACCTAGATAACCGCTGGAGGTCCGATTGGGAATTGTTTTACTAGAGTCCTAGCCAAGAGTATTTAGATACATGTATAAAATGATCCGATCATGCATACACTGCAGTTGACTGAAGCTTTGTCTTTATTCAAACTTATAAAAGTCAGAAGAAATGTGAACATTAGCGACTTGTAGTGTAACCATGAAGGTTTTTTTTGTCATTAAGCAATATATCATGTGATTAACAATGCGTTCCGGTAGTCTTGTCACTACCCTGCTCCTGTACTCTCTACCCACCCAACCCAAGTTACCCTTTTCAGCCCTAGTACCTTCCCTTGGCCTAATGTAGGGATCTTGGGAAGAAATTAGCCAAATATGATCTCTTCCGATGTAATCATTAATTATGCATTTGGCCAAAAATTACAACTCATCTCTTTATTCCAGTGGCAATTGTGGGTCACTTTGGTGATCTTTCCACCATGCTGAGATATCTCCCTTGTTATCAGGGTACTAAATGTCACACCATCAGAATAGCTGACGGTCAAGCTAGAACTGACATTTTGGTATACTCAGGAGCACCAGTTCATGACCTTACTGGGATAGCACTGTTTGTATATTTTGTGCTGATGATTTATTTGTTCTACACTATTTTCAGTTTAGGGCTAGGAAGGAGATCTTGACTACCATATATTGACTGTAGTAAGCACCCTGGGTGCTGGGAAATTGACTTAGGAGGTGCTTATTGAAACCATTAATGAGTTTGTTGATATGCTATTTCTGGTGTGAGCATGCCAATGGTAATGTGTTCACTTTGGGGGGAAAAGTCAAAACTTGATAATCCTGTATGTATAATATGCATCCGTTCTACACAGCCTTGTATTTTGTTAAAAATGGTTGTACACACAAGAAAATACAGACTTATGAAAATTACTTAAGTCAATTATTCTTCTGAATTGCAGGTCCAGTAAATTGATTGCAATAACTGTTTTGGAAAGGTTTTACATGTAATAAAGTAGTATCATTTTGTGCATTTGTTGTATTAATTCCATTAATGAATTTTAAGCAATGTTAAAAGAATTAACTGTTGCCGCCATATATTACTACTTGGCTGTTAATAAGGAAATTAACCAAGGCCAGTCACGACATCTGCATGGGAGAAAGTGTGAAGTCTTGTTCAGCACTAATGAATGTACACTCCTAAAGTGCCTTCCCAAGGCTATTTTCGTGAAAGGCATGATTCAGAAAATGTGGGGTAAGATTTTTGTGGCTACAAATCTTTCCCGTTCTGGCAAGAAAAGTGACTTTGGATAATCTTGCCTTAAAACATTGTACATCTTCTGTATGATTGATGTAAAGTTTTAAGAACACCAGTTGTATACCTACGCCCATGCATACTTATTTCTCAGGGATTCAAAAGATGACAACTGTTCGTTTACCTGGTCCAGTGTACACAAAGAGTTACCAGATAAACAAGACACTACTCTGCAGTGAACTAGCTTTCACATGAAATACCGACTTTGAAACAGCCTGCACTAACCCCATGACTTTCTTCTGGGGCAGGATTCAGACATTTTTTGGAGGTGCTTAATTAGCAGATCATCCCTAAAGTCTTGATGCTGGTTGTTTGTTGAAGACCATTGCAAATATTTCTTCCTTCTGTCGGGTTACAACCTGAGGTGCAGTGCAATGTTGCTAAGTTTAAGACCTGGGTGGTGATGGTTCATTTATTACTGTACTCTACTCCCCATAGCACTTCAGCAATGAATACACCTTTACCTCCGTTTCATGTAATTGGGCGTTGACAGTTAGCACTTCATTTTCACTTCAGGAGTAGCCAGTGATTGACAGTTTGTGTTAATTTGGAATGTGGTGAACACATTTTATGTCCATTGGAGAGGTGCAGTGCAAAGTTTGATTTCAATATTTGCATTTTCAGAAAAAATACACACCCTTTTTTCATTTTTTTTTTACTTAAAATATTTTTACTTCAACATTTCCGTGACCTTTTATGAAAGAACTACTCCATGGATTCTTTTCAGATATAGGGAACAGTTTCCTTACTAACAGAAGATGTGCAGTGCAAAGTTATGTTTTACTTCAACATTTGTGCGACCTACAACTTAAAAACTAGTTCATGGATTTTCCAATAGGGGTTACTGTTTCTATACTAATAGGAGAGGTGCAGTGCAAAGTTTGATTTTGATAAGTTGGTTTTCTGAGAAAATATTGCTTTTTTCATGTTTTGAACTAAGGAATATGTTGGAGTCAAAGTCACTTTTTGTCTTGTTATCAACAGTTACGGTTTTAAACGACCTTACATTTTGATATAATAAAGGGTTGCTTGTGTTTACAATGTAGGTTTGTAAAGTTATGTTTGTTTCAAGGAGAATATTACTGTCGTGCTGTTTTGATGTTTGCCTTTTTGCCAAGGGTCATTTAGTTGATTAAACTGGTTTGGTAGCCCAGTAGTGTTACTCAACATAAAGGACATTGAGGAAAGTTTTATTTTTCAGTTGCAATACATGCCATATAGCTAATACTAATAGTCTGCAACATGTTCTTCGTTAGTGATTGATATCTTTTACCATAACAATATTAATTTAAGCAATTCAGCTATGCAGTTGTTCCCCAAGTTCCTCCATAAACATACGCACATCATAGAGAAAGAAATATCTGCTTGAACCAGTAATTTGAAACATAGACTCACGCACATACTCAAATTTACAAGCTGGGCTTCACAGCAGTGCATTAATTATGAACAATTTGCACAAGTGTGGCAGCCACTACACACAGCTGGATTATACACTGGCCGGGTAGAACCAAGTTAGAGATGCTGCTGCTGGGTCTTGACTGCTGCTTAGCAGCAGCAGCAGCCATCCATCCATCACTACCCCACTCTCCTCCATCTGAATCAGGTCACTTCCTGGTCCATTCCTATCACATGAAGCTGTGCACAAGTTAAGACCCTGAATGGTGAAAAAACATAAACCCAGAATGTCTTTACGTGGCAGTAATTCGAGTTGAAAAAAAAGAAGAAAAACACACAGACAGAGGCCAATGTTTTATAAGAGGAGAATGTTGTTTGCAGCATCTTTGATGGTGAGCAGATGTTAGATCCTGATTGATCTTGTGCTCAGCCCTGGCATGTGAGGCTTCAGATTTGTGTTTGTGTGGCTGTCCGACATGTAGCCTTTGCTCACAAGTGCAGAATTTTTGTCATACTATTCCTTAATATAATCATGTTATTCATAGTAGGATTAAATGTCATATTCAGGAAGCTACTTACATTATGATCTGATTTTTCAAAGTAACGGAATTTGGTCCCAATATCCTTATCATAATATCATAATATTTCTTAACCTGAGAAAAAATACCTGGTGTCATGGATCTTAGTTTTTTTGAGTTGACAAGTCTTTCATGTATAGTTAACTTGAAAAACATGGGTGAGGAAAGTCAAATTGTATTCGCATTTGGTTTCATTTTTAGCTCCACTAAATATGGTCACATTCCCAACCTGAACTCATCGAACATATAATTTTTGAAAGTGTTTACATGAGTGTATAGATAGTGGCATCTCAAATATTTCATTAATTGCAAAAGGTGGCATGTGGTCCTGAGGACAGCACACAGGTCACAAATCAGGTCGAGTTAAGCAACTCCTGACTCCTGATAGTTTCTAGGGCTTCGGTTTTGCCATCCCTGTGCTCGTGGGTTTCACCGAAGTGGTAATCGACTTGAGACCTGCATCACTTCGGGCTTTCCTCCCACAACACTTCGGGCTTTCCTCCCACATTAAGCTGACACGCTGCGATATCACTGGAATACTGTTATAAGCGGCGTTAACCCACCTCACTCACTCACTCACTGACAAGTAGCACATGGGTTGTCTCCTCAGAGGCAAGTGACTTTGTTCAAAATGTGCATCTGTTCACTCAGCAGTGAATGGGTACCTGGTAGAATGAGGACAGTTAACCTTCTAGCGCCTCATAAACAGCTTGGGTTGTATACTCCTCAGGGGGCTGAGATTGATAAGCGCGTGCTCACTAATCCATTGACTGGGGTAAAATTGTTAAGGCTTTGAGCATACACCTTTTGTATGGAGTCAAGCGAAATATAAGTACACATTATGATTATTATTATCCCCCGCCGCGCGAAAGCGCGAAGCGGGGGATATAGTATTCACGACCGTCCGTACGTCCCACCTGTTTCTTGCCGCGATATCTCAAGAACTAAACACTGGATTGTCTTCATATTTGGAACTATGGTGTATATACAGACTCCGCAGACACCAGTCGGTTTTGGTGACCTTGATCCCGTTTTCAAGGTCACAGCAGACAAATCTGCTTTTAGAGTTGGAAAACGGTGTTGCCGCGATATCTCAAGAACTAAACACTGGATTGTCTTCATATTTGGAACTATGGTGTATATACAGACTCCGCAGACACCAGTCGGTTTTGGTGACCTTGATCCCATTTTCAAGGTCACAGCAGACAAATCTGCTTTTAGAGTTGGAAAACGGTGTTGCCGCGATATCTCAAGAACTAAACACTGGATCGTCTTCATATTTGGAACTATGGTGTATATACAGACTCCGCAAACACCAGTCGGTTTTGGTGACCTGGATCCCATTTTCAAGGTCACAGCAGACAAATCTGCT